AGGCTTGTCAGGACCGTCCACCTCGGGTTTCTCCGAGTTTTTACAGTTGGAGTCCGAGTCTTCACAACTTCTGCTCTTGCGGAGGTCCGGGCATGATATTACAAGTACACCGCATGGTGTCAAACCCTTTCTTAAAATTACACCCGAAGATTTTAATTGAGCACCGATTCCGGAGCAGGAGGCAAGTCAGTAGAAAATGGAATGAAGATCGTTGTTTTCATTCATTCATCCCCATTGACAAGCATCTGGATCGGCTCATCCTTTATCAATTGTTTTCGAAAGTAGTACCTAAATTGGTGGTGCTTCATGGCTGATAATGTCGGAATTAATTTCTCTACTTGTGACGAAGATTTTTTAAGCTGCTAAATTTTTCCTTGAGGACTGATGACATACGTCTTTGAAAGTCTCATTTTTTGGCACCAAAGAGAGGTATTGTTACATTTTTTCAGCTTTTCAGTTGATTTTCTGATTCCGTGCATGTGAGAGGTCATTTTGCAACCAGTAAACTCATTTAAGAACAGGAGTTGCTTACATAAAAGTTGACAAAATCTGCGACGGATAAAAGAGATGTTAGCGATAGTTTTGGATTTAGCGTTCAATATCACTTCTAAATAGCAAAGAAAAATTGACGCCTTTTCTGATCGATTTAACAAAAAAACAAATAGGTTCGGATCCTCTCCTGTCACAATTATGTTGGTGCTCTAGAAAGCTGCAACACCCTATTCAACGATATCAAGATCTGCATTCTTTCGCATGTACCACCCTTACTCCATAGATTAGAAGAGTGTGCCGATTAAGGATAAGTCGCTTTTGATTAAGTCCATGCGCTATATCCAGTAATAGGAAATTGGCAAAAAAAACCGTATAAATCCTCCTGCAGAGATTTTCAAGGAATGCTGAGGACGTGATACAATTGGAAACGAGTATGTTTTGTCTTTTGTTAATTTTATAGAGCGAACGCACGTTTTTGAGCTAACATTTCTCTCGGAAGTACTATTTTTCTCTTTATTGTCTTATTAAATAAAATTTAAACACCTAATTTAGGTTCATCGACCAAAATGCACGGAATAGTCACCTTCCTTGCCTTGTTCGGTGAATCCGTCACGTTCGATGTCCTCATCTTGATTGAGAATTGATGCCTTTAAAAATGAGCAAAAATAACTCACTGGGTGCTCCTATTAAATTATTTTCATACCGTTTGCATGACACGTCTCACTCATCAGTAAAATTCATCTTTTACGTTTAATTTAGACTTTTCGACTAGAAATACACGGAATAGTCACCTTCCTTGCCTTATTCGGTGAATTTTTTTTCAAAAATGCACCCTTCCGCCTTTCAAATTTAGCCACCATCTTAAATTTCGGGCACTCCCTATAAGCAAGGGGACTGTTTTGACTTGAGACATGAAATTTACAACCAAAATTTCATAAGAATTGATACACCTCACTCTCATTTTTTACGTAACTTTCAAATTTAGCCTCCATCTTGGATTTAGAGCACCCCCTTTGACCGGGGAGCTGTTTTGACATCATTACTGAAATGCACAACCAAAATTACATTGGAAACGACACCTCACTTGCCCAATCACGTAAAAATTGAAAAATGACACTCTTGCATTTCAAATTTGGCCGCCATCTTGGATTTGGGTCGCCCCCTTTGACCCAGGGGCTTTTTGGACTTCAAAAATGATATCTGCGACCAAAATTACATAGGAAATGATACCTCACATGACACTATAGGAACATTTTAAAATACCGAAATCCCATAAGCCCTTTTTATGGCCGCCATTTTGAATTTTCGTCATTTTGGGGGATGTTCCGGGGTCGGACCGTGGTAAACTTTTTGTATGTTGTTCAGGAGGACCTACTGATGACGTTTACACAGGAATAAATTGTTATGCAATTTGTTCCGGGTCAAACCGTATTTCTCCCTGACTATCTGTCCATACTCTCGCTATACAGGTACTCTAACTAGAGTACCTGTATAGCAAGAGTATTATGGACAGATGTGAAACTCCGAAAATCCATCAGGCCTTCACTGATGCTTCTGCGAATAAAGTTAGGGCCCAGAAACGCAGCCAACCTATGAATTTCAATTATCCAGAACGATTTACTAGGGATGGTCGAATATTTAGATATTCGAATATTCGATATTCGAATCATCGGCACCGATATAATCGCATCACATTCGAATATTCGCTTCCGAAGTATTCGAATCGCAAATTCGAATATTCGAATAATCGCATTCAAATATCCGAATAATCATATTCAAAAGTGTCGAAAGTGTCATTTTATCTCTCACGGTTCATAAAAAATCAAAAATCAAAGCAATAATCGAAAATATTCGAATATTCCATCCGAACTATTCGCAATCGCAAGATTCGAATTCTCAAATATTCGCAATAATCGCATTCAAAAAGTTTCGAATATTCGAATAATCGCATTCGAATTCGATATTCGTCCATCCCTACGATTTACTAATACTATTGTTACGAACCGTCGTTTATTTATTAAGCACGTGTTTGACTCAGTTTTTGCATAAATTTACTCAATTTCGCGGAAGAACGCTCATTTCTGTACATTCTTGGCCATCATGGTTAGAAATGGAATCTGCAGACCGGCAGTGAAATTTTTTGCGTTAGAAGTTGGTTAGAAGGGTGGCTGCACTTTTGGAGTGAACAGATTGGCCCAGATATTCCGGACCACTTTTCACCAAAAACTGCTGTTTTTCAAACCGCCGTCAATACCTACCAAGCGGCGAGTAGGCCTTCGGCCGTGCTCGGCAATCTTCGTAGCCATATCAGGTTGCCGCTCGCCGCCCGTAATCTCGAAGATAGTTCGGCTCCTACACCTACACCACCCTATATTTTTCAAATTTTGGCATTCGGCCTGATTCTCCTTTCCTCTTTTCCGTAATTAAGAACAATAAAAAATTCATTTAGTCATAACTTAGCGGCACCCTGTCCAATTTGTGCCTAGAGCCTCTACAACTTGGCAAGTTTGGACGTTACCTTTTGAACATTTCATCCCTTCCCTTCGAATACACTTCACACATCACACGGGACTTCTTATCTGCATACTTACTTGGCTTTATTCGCAAAAGGATCTTTTAAGAAGTAAATTCTTTCGATAACTTATTGGGGATGGTCAAGTTACCAAGCCCACTATTCCATGCCATTATTATTACAGGACAAGGTTTCTTACCTATAATTTGATGGGCACCGTGAGAATAAAAGATAACCACAGTATTTGATCTGTGCCTTAAAAAATGAGCTGCTGGTGGCAGAACCATCTTGGTGATGTTCATTAGGAATCTTAGACTTTATTCTATTTTTTCAGCATATGAACCTTACATGGTAACTTGTAAAGTCTTTGCATCATTTTCCTTGAGTTCTACTTAGTTTGATGCCAAGAAACAAGAAAATTCATGGAGAAACATGCCTTGAGGAGATAGTTCCCCCTCATACTTAGTATCAGAGTTCCGACGGAAAAAATCTTGTTGTCATAGGTAAATATACGGTTTCCATTGCTTCTTCAGCTGTTAATAGACAACTATGCGGGTTTGCTGGAGAATTTGGCGACTGCTAGGATTGTTAATTAGTATCTCCGAAGCCTGGTTGTTATAGCTAAACTTAAAGCATTGGCTTCAACGCAACGCAAAACCAGAACCTTGGAGAGACCACCGAACATCCATAAGAAAGTAAGTATGAAGAGCAAGGTACCTAGCATTGTACATCCGTCTGGTTTCCAGAACCACCGTTACTATAGGGATTTAGGATTCAGATTCGCACATCAACCAGTAAGCTTTTCGCCCAGTCATCTTGAGATGGAGGCAGCCATGCAAGGCGCAGCCAGGGAGTCCAATGCTCAAGCCACTTAATCAACACAAATATTATCCTAACTTACAACAAAATGGCTTGTTTCTTCTCTAACAATGGAACCGGAAAATGTTAGTTTGAATGCGCAAGAAACTTCTTTGGTCAAGATGAAGAAACGTAAATGAAGAAATGAGTCCGGAACATCTCGACCAGGCACAGGCCGCTTTGTTTACATTAGGAGTCTAGTATCTCGCCGCAATTTCACTTGAACTCACCATGAACAGATCAACGGGGTAACTGATGTCTGATTTTACGAAAGGGATAAATGATGGACGCGGACGAAAGTTCTTTTGTCGAGGTGAAGAAACGCTAACGCTGAGAAATTGAGTCTGGAACATCTCGACGAAGTCCGCTTTGTTTATATTGGTTTTTTTTTATGAAAATTTGGTCTGGAATATCTGGGCCAAACGCAAAAACCGCACTTTTGGGCACTAAGCCCTCCCATTGACGTATAAAAAAGGCCTTGTCTCCACGGGACGTTTTCATGGGCTTTGTCCCAAGTTCGAATCGCAGGAATGAAACTTCTTGGATTTTTCCCAGTTACCGTCTCCACGGGACGGGGCTCATACAGTCCTGCGACTAGTTTTCGCGGGAAGATAATTCGACTTCATTTTGCAATTTGGACCTATAAATTCTGGCTCATCTGAAAGAACACTTATGTGCATAGGGAAACTAATGGCACATACGTTGTTTTTAAACCGGGCTGGAATTTATAGTTCCTAATTGCAAAATGTAGTCCAATTGGTTAAAGTCGAGTGTTTAACCGGGATTAAAATAATAATTGCACTCAATTGACAATTAGACACATTATTTTAACTAAACAAACATTAACAATGTAGTAATGAATAAAATATCGCACAATTCGTTTTCACTTCTTCTTCTTCTCTCAGTGGGTCCTAGAGGTACAAGTACCATACTTGGTACTGGGAAAAATATTGATTAACTCAATATTTTTCCCAACTTTGTAAGTGGGATTTTTCCCTGGGACAAATCTCGTGAAACGGCTCGTGGAGACAAGGCCTAATAATTGTATTATACGTCAATATTATGAGCCCTTCATGAAGCGATCTGTCCGAAATACCATGGACGAAGATATTACATTAGGACCTTTCTCTAGTGTGCAAGATCCGAGCGTCAGCGCGATCTGGCAGAAGCACTTTTGAGTTATTTAGAGGAGCTACTTTCAGAATATGTCCCATAGATACCGCTAGTAGTGAGAGGTACTTTTTACGAAACCGCGTCGTTTTAGGTAGAGTCCCTTTATACCCAGAGTTAAGACAACTCGATTATCAGCTGACTCGCAGCCGGCCTTGGCTGGCCATGGAGGCCGAAACGAGTGCACCCAAACGAACGATATTGAGGGATAAGGATCAGGAATCCTGCGATGTCTGTCACACAAAAACAACAACATCAACAAATTGATCAATTAAAAAGAAAATGAGATTGGTTTGTGAATAATTTCTTAATCTATTTTCATTTTGGACCGATGGAAATAACAATTTACTCTTGATAAACCACAATTAGGTAATGTTTTCATTATTCTTGTTCACATTCGAGGTACCGCCATCTTGGTGCACTCGTTTCGGCCTCCATGAGCGAGAACCAATCAGAATTGGATTTTTTTTTAGGCCACTTTCAGGCCAACCAAAAGTGAGTTGTCTTAACTCTGGGTATAAAGGGACTCTAGTTTTAGGTTTGAATTTTCCAACGAATTGCCCGTCGCTATTGCACTAAGCCATTGCATTGCCTTTGCCGCACGCTATTTCCACGTTGATTTCCACCTATTTCTGATTTCCCGAGTGTATTTAGTTTCCTGAAATCGAGTGCTCTTATCTTTTCTTCAAGATGAATCCTCAATTTGACTGTGGTTAGCAAGTGTTGGTGTTCTTTTCACCCGTGATATTGACTTTTTCAGTGTTTTAGTCTAGTAATCCGTAGATGTCTTTTGCGCAGCCGGTCTGCCAGGAAAGATACATCTGTCACCCTTTTTCTTTCCCGTCTTCAAAAGAACGGTAAGTAATCATACCTTTCATTATCTGCTACTTTCTCGTATCGAAAAACTCTCTTGTACCCTATTATTTGTGGCATGTTGGCTGGTTTTTCCTCATACGCGAGAAGCCCACATTAAGTAATTAATTCATCAACTCCTCTGTATCATATTATGATTATGCCAGGTTCACATTATCTAACTCAAATTGTTTACTGAAACGAATATGCCATTCTAACAGAATACAACAATGCCTTTCAAAGTCCAACTTTCCAAATTTAGCGATAGAAATGAATTCTGCTCCAAAGTATTGTTCTTGTTACCGTTTCAAATTTCCCACTCATTTTATAAGAACATGCTCTGGAAGAGAATTCATCACTCGCTAAGTTTGGAAAGTTGGAATGAGTGGGGAAAACAAGATCATTAATTTGAATTTGGCGGGCGAATCAAGCCAGGGAACCTGAGCTCGTGTCACGAGCGCACTCTACTGGCCTTTGGTGCAACTACTTGTAAATTTAGTTCAAAAAACCGCTGCAAGATCGCTGTACTGTCAGCCGTTCTCCTCAAAATCGAACACAGATTTTAACACGGGGCCTTATGGGACTGAGTCATCCTAATAAGTTAGTATATGTATATTCATCCATGGCCATACTCTCGCTATACAGGTACTCTACTCTAACCAGACGTAGAGTACCTATATTGAGAGAGTATGGCCACTGGGGTAACCACCTCTGATTGGCTCAGCCATCTTAGGCTAAATGGAGCCCTTAGGACCCAAAAATGGCGGACGCCATAAATTAATGTAATGCAAAATGACTCAAAATGTAGTTTTCTTTGCTTATCGTAACGAGACATTTACTCAAATGCACTATTGCGACAACTTTACATATTTTTAAGGCTAATCGTGTGCAATTTTTGAGAAAAATTATCGTAGATGTAGTAAGGTTGGCAGCAAGTGCGACTGGTGATAACCGTCAAAAGTTGGCAATGACCCCCCTCCCATCCACAAAAACCAAAACAAAGCACCGCCATTTTTGGGTCCTAAGCCCCTCCATGGGGCCCAGTCATCTCTTGGTCCATGGCCCAGTGGCCATAAGCCCCACATACACGGTGAAAGTGGCCCTTAAGGTGGATCTTCAGTTTTTTTGTTTATAAATTTCTCCGCCCAGGGGACGCCACCGTCGATGTCCGTTTTTCGTCAAATTTCTGCAGTCAAAACTGAATTTTGAAGGATCTGAGCCTTTATTTCAAAATCGAAAAATTTCACTCTGTAGATTAGAGTATTGCGAATATTTTGAGCCTTTGATCATCAAAATGCAAGGTGTTGTGGTTGAGAAAGTACTGTTTCCCCACAAGAAATCTCGGCCCTTGGCCGACGAACCTCTCAGTTGACGATAAATTTAAAGAATTAGAACACTTAATTTCAAAATCCAAGGATTTCAGTCTGAAGACCAGACTCTCTTCTTTCATTCAAGCCCAAAAACATGCAATTCTATCGCGAATCGACGGAGAAAGTACTGTATCCGACCGGCCGGACAACAAGCTTTTTCATTCGGTCGGTCATTTAAAATTAATTGCCCGCCGCAGCAACAAACAACAGGTTTGTTGACATTTTAGCAAGGTAGATTTACACCATAGAGAAAAAAAAGGAGGTGTTTGCATTTCGGGCATCTTGGAATTTTTTGATGTCTTGATGACGTAGGTGGGTACAGTGTGAAGGGGACGTCTCTGTACCCAGCTGTATACCCACCTACGTCATCAAGTCATCAAAATATTCCAAGATGCCCGAAATGCAAACACCTCCTTTTTTTTCTCTATGGATTTACACAGGTATGGAAAAGTTGAAAATTTCCCATGAGCCTCAGTACGTGTCACATGACTACGTGACGTAGGTTAAGGGGCCCGTTTTTTAATTAAATTACAATCAAATTAACATTCAAACGTTTGTGCGTTTAAACGTTAAAATTAATATCGCATTATCAAAATTGTGCAAAAAATCCCACAAAATTTTGACAAACGATAAACCGAACATAATAAATCAAAATAATCAAAACATTCAAAATGGCTGACGTTAAGGGGCCGCTGGAGGATAGAGTCCCTTTATACCCAGAGTTACGACAACTCACTTTTGGTTGGGCCAGGATTGGGCTGAAAGTGGCCTAAGAAAAAATCCAATTCTGATTGGTTCTCGCTCATGGAGGCCGAAACGAGTGCACCAAGATGGCGGTACCTCGAATGTGAACAAGAATAATGAAAATATTACCTAATTGTGGTTTATCAAGAGTAAATTGTTATTGCCATAGGTCCAAAATGAAAATAGATTAAGAAATTATTCACAAACCAATCTCATTTTCTTTTTAATTGATCACTTTGTTGATGTTGTTGTTTTTGTGTGACAGACATCGCAGGATTCCTGATCATTATCCCTCAATATCGTTCTTTTGGGTGCACTCGTTTCGGCTTCCATGGCCAGCCAAGGCCGGCTGCCAGTCAGCTGATAATCGAGTTGTCGTAACTCTGGGTATAAAGGGACTCTACCGATTATCGTGTAACTGCTGTTTAAAGTGACTTTGAAGGTCACCGCTCAACAACGCATCGGTGACTCCCACATTAAGCCAATATTAAGGTCTAGAGTACCTATATTAAGAGAGAGTATGGCCACTGGAGTTACCACCTCTGATTGGCTCAGCCATCTTAGGCTGAATGGAGCCCTTAGGACCCAAAAATGGCGGACGCCATAAAGTTAATGTAATGCAAAATGACTCAAAATGTAGTTTTCTTTGCTTATCGTAACGAGACATTTACTCAAATGCACTATTGCGACAACTTTAAATATTTTTAAGGCTAATCGTGTGCAATTTTTGAGAAAAATGATCTTGGATGTAGTAAGGTTGGCAGCAAGTGCGGTTGGTGATAACCGTCAAAAGTTGGCAATGACCCCCCTCCCATCCTCAAAAACCATAACAAACAACGAACTACACCTCTAGAATGGCCGACCAGTGTTAGAGACCCGGAACGTTTTGAAGTTGATATAGGTTAGGTTTACTTGGGCTCACACAGCAGGCTGCCATCTAAACCCATGTCAGACGCTGCCCACATTTTGCCGAATATTGTTGAATAAAGTGATAGCAATGAAAAGATTGCATAATAATCGCACCTCCAAAGGTTTTCTTAATTCAAAAAATAGGAACTTTGAAAGCAAACCTCAAAAAAAATGAAAGTTTACATAGGTTGAAATTTTCACATGTAATCCTTATGGGCAAGACGCAGCAGAAATGGAGATTGAGGTTAGCTATACTTGGGCTCCCACCCCCCTCCTGCCTTCAAAAACCGGCCCTTGCGCGTACCGCAGGTTTGCTATCTCGCGGCCATTCTAGAGGTGTAGTTCGTTGATAACAAAGCACCGCCATTTTTGGGTCCTAAGCCTCTCCATGGGACCCAGTGGCCATACTCTCTCAATATAGGTACTCTATTAAGGTATATCTACAGCTGCGTGAAGTAAGAAATTTCTCCGCGCAGGGGGCGCCACCGCTGTGTTTTAGAGTCCGTACAGCGCCACGTGAGTCCTTGAGTTTTTCTAAAAGTTGAAGGAATTTCTGTTTAAATCGAAGATAAATAAGTTCTAGCTATAACATTCTTCTTCCTATTGACCCTAAAAACAACGTGAAAAGTCATTTCTGAAGTTCTGCAATTTGATCCCAGAAAAAAGTAGGGTTAAGCATGATGACCTTGATGCAACCAATCGCGCTTGATCGCTCTCAGCAGTTGGCAGATATCTCTCTCCCACCGTGAGCTGTCTCTCTCGCACTTACAGATATCCCGTAAGAGAAATTGGGATCAATTTACAGCTTTTATTATTAGACTTTCAAAGCTCGCGTTTGTTTCTAAGGATTCCAGACGTATGCTGCTAGAACTTACGAGTCTTAGAATTTAAGATACCTATTGTGATATTTAAATAATCACTGATTTCGGAGTCGGATTTTAGCAGCGCGACGTGGTGGATTTTTTCGGAACTACAGCTGAAGATTAACC